TGTTGGATATTGTTGCCACCTTGAGTTATTTGTAAAACATAATAAAGGCGGGATACAGAATAGAATAGAATAGAACAGAATAGAATTCTTTATTGGCCAAGTGTGATTGGACACACAAGGAATTTGTCTTGCTGTAAATACTCTCAGTATACATAAAGAAATGATACATTCATTAAGAATCAAGAATCATAATGCACAACACTTAATGACAGTCATAGGGTACAATAAGCAATCAAATCATACTAGGAAACAGTCAATATAAATTGTAAGGATACAAGCGACAAAGTTACAGTCCTACAATCACAAATGGGAGGGGATGGGTGAGAAGGAGTGATGAGAAGATTAATAGTAATAGTAGTGTAGACTTTATAATAGTTGAACAGTGTTGAGAGAATTATTTGTTTAGCAGAGTGATGGCTTTCGGGGGAAAAACTGCCATCACTTGTGACTTTCAAGAAGAGATTGGATTCCCATCTGTCAGAAATGGTGTAGGGTCTCCTGCTTGGACAGGGGGTGAGACTAGATGACTTACAAGGTCCCTTCCAACTCTGATTATCTGTTTAATCTGTTTAAATAAAGTCTTAAAACACTTCAAGACATACAACTTGCAAAATTCCTCACCAATCCAGTGGTCCCCAGCTGAGGGTGTTCAGAGCAAGCACAGCCTGTTGTGTTGTGTTTCACAAAATAACAGCTTTTGACATTACGAAAGTGCTGCTGACCACTTGGACAATGTCAGGTTGACTTTGAAAATGCTGACCTCATAAAACAGCCTTAGGTTCCTTCTTAGTGAATTCACACCACTTGATTAAATATCCAGAAGAAGAACCACAAGATTGCTAGAATTCCCATCACAAGATGTGCCTTGGCTGCATGGACCCCTCAAATATCTCTCTCACACTTCCCAGATACTTGCTCCTTTGACCACAACTGTCAGAAACTATCAGCATCACTGTCACCAGTTTAAGATGAAAGCATGCCAAAAAAAAAGATCTGTCCAGAAAACCCTAAAATGACATTTGGAGGAAATAATTAGGATATCTTGGCAATATCCATGGATCAGGGACAGCCTCACCTATTTTGGAGCACTGTTCAGCCATCCTCTTTACTAAAATGTTAAGTTACAGGTAGTCCTTGACTTACAACCACAATTGAGCCCAAAATTTATATTGCTAAGTGAGACATTTTGCCCCATTTTACGACCTTTCTCGCAACAGTGGTTAAGTGAATCCCTGCAGTTGTTAAGCTGGTGACACAACTGCTAAATCACCATGGCTTCTCCATGGACTTTGCTTGTGGGGTGGCCCGCCAGTGGCTAGCGGAGCTGGCAGCAGAATCGGACAAGGAGAGGACATTGGGGAGGAACATGGGCCAGTCCTGGAGGTTGAGGAAGGCTCGGATGGGGGCTCTGCATCAGAGGCAGAGATGGGGCCAGGGCAGACTGGCAGTTATCAGCTGCCTTTGGAGCCGGACAGCAGTGAGGCTGGGGGAGCAAGTGGAGCCGGTTCCCAACCTGTCCATGCAAAAGAAAAGAACAATGACGAACTCAGGGTCGACGTGGGAGTAAGGCCACAGGTGGATGGTGAATGGCCCCTCCCATAGGGATTAAAAGAGGAGCAAAAGGGGAGGGGGCCCTTGCAGGAAACAATTCGTTCGTTGCAGCAGTGTGAAGATCTGTCTGTGTATCTCAGAGGCTCTGTGCCGAGTCCTTCCTTGTCAGCACCGCGTTTGGAAATACTTACTTGGCAGCTCTCTAAGCTAGGTAAGGTCTGTGCTCCTAATTGCACCCTTGAAAGACTGTTTGCCAGGCCTTTGGCTGAAGGTGAATGCAAGAAATTCACCTTCGTTTAATAAAAGGGGTTTTGCCCGGACAAAGAGTCTGCTTTGTGCTTTGGGGGGAAGCCCAGGTCAGACCAGCTTGTCAGATCACAAATGGTGATCGCATGACCCCTAGGACACTGCAACCATGCATGCCAGTTGCCAAGCACCTGAATTTTGATCACGTGACCATGGGAATGCTGCAACAGTCGTGAGTATCAAAAGAGGTCCTAAGTTACTTTTTTCAGTGCTGTTGCAACTTGAACGGTCCCTAAAACAAACCGAAGACTACCTGTATTGCTCCTAGTGATCTAAAGGCTACCTGGCCCTCTCTTACGTGACAAATGCATTTTCTTCAACGAACCAAACAGAAACCAACAGAAACTTTTGGGCTCGATTCCCTCTCGGGTTCCTAAGCTTTTTTTTGGGATGAGGCCAAGCCAGCGAGGCACAGCCAGGGCTTTCAATCGTGTTTTCCAGGCAGGAAAACACCCCTGAGGTCCAAGTCCACAAACTGGCTTTGCAGGCAGAAACGGCAGTTAGGACAATCAAGAAATCAAAGAGCAAGGCCAACCGACGAGGCCAAGATCACCAGGGAGGGCAGGAACAGTACCTGTGCAAAGTTGCTAATTCCTATCGTTCCAATTCCGTTTTCGACGGCGATCCATTCGTGCTTGTCTGTAAACCGACGAGCTAAAAAATAATAACATCCCCCAAAACAAAACAAATGGGTCAGTTTTAAGGCTCTGTATTTGCATCTACCTTGGCAATCCTACTTAGGTTCTTCTAGTACAGGGGTCCCCAAACTTGGCAACTTGAAGACTCCTATAGCAGGACCCCCAAAAGTATAAAGATGGTTTATGCGCTCAGATCTCGCACGAGAGCAAGCCAGCATTGTTCCCAGGTTGCTTTTCAAGAGCCCCGTGGAATCCTTTGAAATCCCCTGGCGTGCCAATGCCAGAAATCCAAAGAAATTGTTTACGGTTGGATTGTTTAAATTGTTGGTCTGCCTTTCATGCTTTGTAATCAACTCAGGGACGCCAACATACCTAACACTCCTCCCTCCTCCTATTTTCCCCACAACAACAACCCCGTGAGGTGGGTAGGGCTGAGAAAGAGGAACTGGCCCAAAGTCACCCAGCCGTCTTTCTTGCTCAATTTCTCCCAACAAAATTCTCTGCACCCCCGGGTAGCCTAGAATCCAGAATGATTGTATTGGAAAGGAGGGGGGGGGGAAGGGAGAATAGGCTACAACGCACTTCATAGTAACGTTTGGCTGGTTGACAGATTACCAAAAATGACCTTCGCTCAACATCGGAAGCTTAGCCTTGCCTGGAGGGGAGGATCGCTACGTCCTGGGGTTAATTTGTTTTTTCCACCCTGCGTTGCAACAACGGGCCTGTCCAGGAAGCCAACTTCCTGGGTGAGCTGCCCACGCGTGGAAGCAAAGGCCCGTGACTTCCAGGAAGCGGGCTTCGCTTCGGATTCCAGGGAAGCCTAATCCAACTCTTGGCATCCCCTCCCAAACTCCCCGAAGCGTGCAGCTCAGCCGTCGCCAAACTGAGTTGCACTCGTATGCGACCCGGATATGCACGGACTTTCACTCCAAGTCAGGGCGCACAGGGGCAGCAGGGGGGCTGGCAGCCTTGGAAGCTCTGGAGAGGCCTCCGGCTAAGCGCATCGATGCCCGGGCTTTGGCTGCGATCCCTCGGCTCGGCTGGAACCGGAGCAGAGCGACGAAGGGGGCTGGGTGACTCCCGCCGCGCTTCGGCGCACGCCTCTCCTTGCAATGGCGCAAAGGAACTCCGGTTCCCCTGCCGCCCGCCCGCCGCCCCTTCAACCGCGCCCCGGCCGCCACTCACCGGCGAGCAGCAACGCAGGGCTGGTGCTGAGCCGCCGGGCCTCGGGGCTGCGTACGATGCTGCTGCTGCTGCTGCTGCTGCTGGGCCAACCCAGCAAGGAACCGCGCGGCCCGGTCCGTGCGCCAAGCCCGACCCTCCGCAACGCTCGCCAAGCCGTCGCCGCCACTGCCATCGCGGGGCCGCTCCACGAAGAGGCGGCCCGGGCCGGAGGGCAAAAGCAGCCGGGGGAGAGGAGGGGAGGGTGGAGGCGGGCCTTCCCGGCCCGAGGGGGCCTGGCCTGGCTCCTCGGTCGGGCGAAGGGAAGGGAAGGGGTGCCGCGCCGGGCGGAATCGCTGCGCGCCGCCGCGGAGAGGGTGGTTGTGGGGGTTGCCTCCTTTGTCCCGCGCGATGCGCTCTGGAGTGGAGGGACTACAATCCCCCTCTTTCCCGGCCTGCATAAAGGAAGAATCCGGGGAACCAGGATTAAACCTCCGGCCGGAGAGGTTTTCTGCTGCTTCAAAGAATAGCAACCAAGGAGAGAGAGGCAGTTGCAAAACTGCAGAGGTTCCCATTTTTAGGGGATGGCGACGGCCCCCCAACTGGGCAAAATCAGGCCTGGTTTATGGACCGGGATGGAAAGCTCAGTAGGCAGGATATAGAGTTGGCCAAACGTTTGGGAGTTTAATGGCCAACCAAGTCCAAAGCCCCTTTTAGAAAACTGTGCATGGTGTCGACAAGTCAAGCTGGACCTGAGAATGCTTTGCTAGTTAGTCTTCAGTGTAAACCTTTTTTTACTTAAATTGTATCTCCTATCGGTTTTTGTTTTTCAAAGCACTTCTCCCCAGTAGATTGCAACATGTCTGTTTTCCTTCGAAAACCTGAATAAACATCCTCTTTTGTTCTCTGGAAAGTAGGTTGGAATCCCCAGACAAAGAGTGTTGAGGAATTATTTTGGAAAAAAATGGGTGAGAGATTTGTGAAGCGCTGCACTGCTGCAAATCCAGTCCCCCAAGAAGGGGTGTTTGGTTTAACCCTTTACATTTTGTAATTATATTTACTAGGCCTTTAGTGGAAAATGTCATATCAAAAGGACTGGTTCAGCTTTTCTTCTCAATCATTTCAATTTTTAAGACCTTCCACTCACACATGATGACTTTTGAATGAGAGCCAAACATTTCCATGTGGAAATTTTTACAGGAATGTGAGACACGCCAGTTGCAAATTGATAGCAGGCTTCTAATTTTAAATAAACTGAGCTACAATTATGCTTTAACACTTAACATTTATTATATCACACTGAGAAATAGTAACAGGAAACAGCCATGTTAAACCTGTTCCATATAGCTTAAAGTATTTCTATATCTATAGTGAGAAACCACATTCAATTATTGGAGATCAAATGAAGCTTTTGATTCCTAAAAATGAGCTCACGTTTTCTACCACAGCATTTCACAAACCCCAAAATCACAACATTTACAAGTAATACAACAGCTACAAATTCACAGGAGAAGTAAAATCTTGGCTGAGTCATCAGATGTCATTCCCAGATGCTTGCAGATGCTTGCCACAAACTGGAGTTTGGTCATTTTTATATTTAATTCCAAGAAAACTGCACATTTTCTTCATCATGAGGTCTACTATCTCTTCTTCTTCTGAAGCCTTTTAAAAAAAAGAGAGAAATGTTATCAGTGTTTTATGATGCTTGATTCCTAGATAGAAAACTGTTTCTCAACCTTAGCAAAATTTAAGATGCGCAGACTTGAACTCCCAGAATTCCCCCAGCCAGGCGGCTGATTTGACAGTGAATTGATGCCACAAAATCAAGAAAAGGGAAAGAAATCCATCTTGTAAATCAAAATGTGTTATTTAATGCAGAGCATCCTACCCTGATATTATCCAGGTGTGTTAAAATTCCAAGCACCCCCAGTCAAGCTGAATCAAAAGTTGGATTTTCTATTTTGATGGCTTTTTAAATAATGATTTTTGACATTTGTGTTTGGGCAATTGCACTGCATCCATCTTCAGCCATGCATGCTTCCCCCCCACCGTTTTTTTTTCCATTATTTCCTTCAACAAAATGGCAAAAAAAAAAAAAAAACACTGCCAATCTGAGACAGTTCCCCCAATCACACCGGGTGGTGACAGAGTTGCAGAAACTCCAGAGGCCCGTAGAATACTTCCTCGTGTCTCCTTTAAACGCTGAGATTCGATGAACAAACCTGATAATGTTTCTGCTCCTCACTAAAAGCCACCAGGATGACAGAAATGAACAGGTTCAAGACCACAAATGTCATAAAGATTATGCAGGAACCGATTAAGAAGGACCCCAAGATAGGATTGTAATCCAAGACCTGTAATGCGAGAAATATGATTAAGTCTATGAAAAAACAAAATAGAAGAAAAAAAATGTTTTTATAAAGCTGTTTAAAAACTTTAAGCAGGGCACTAGGTGCTGTGTTGCCTGGATGCATCAGAGCCTCCAATTTGGAACAGGAATCCAGCTATCCTGTGTACGTTGAATAGACCTATTTCAATGCTTATGATTTTATGTACCTGTTCAATTTTTATTTTTGACATAAGTGAAACAAGTTTTTTTTTTAATTGGCATAATAATAAGTAAAATCTGTTTTTTTAACAGAATAGAATAGAAATTCTTTATTGACCAAATGATTGGACACACAAGGAATTTGTCTTGGTGCATATGCTCTCAGTGTACATAAAAGAAAAGATACATTTGTCAAGAATCATCAGGTACAACACAATGATAGTCATAGGGCACAATAAGCAATCAAATCATACTAGGAAACAGTCAATAAAAATCATTAGGATACAAGCGACAAAGTTACATTCATACAGTCATAAGTGGGAGGAGATGGGTGAAAGGAAGGATGGGAGGAATAATAGTAATAGCAATGCAGACTTTGTAAATAGTTGGACAATGTTGAGGGAATTATTTGTTTAGCAGAGTGATGGCATTCAGGGAAAAACTCCTTGTGTCTAGTTGTCCTGGTATGCAGTGCTGTATAGCATCATTTTGAGGGAAGGAGTTGAAACAATTTATGTCTGGGATGTGAGGGGTCTCTAAATATTTTCACAGCCCTCTTTTTAACTCATGCAGTGTACAGGTCCTCAATGGAAGGCAGGTGGGTAGTAATTGTTTTTTCTGCAGTTCTAATTACTCTGAAGTCTATGTCTGTCTTGCTGGGTTGCAGAACCCAATACATACATACACACATACATACATACAAACATACACACACAGACACATCACTATTGTCATAATTTTAGCCATTGTCTATCCACTGTAGACAATGTTTCCAACCCATATGGTCCCAAGATTTCTTTTGCCAATTGGCCCTGCAATACTAGCTAATATTTTCAGTCCATTTTGTTTTAGGTCTCTTTCGTGGATTCTTTTGATCAAGTGGGATCCATTCTATGATCGCTTTGGTCCACCTGCCATCCGTTCTTCTTGCTATGTGACCAATCCATTTCCATTTCAATTATTTTACTCTCTTGATGATATCGTCTACTTTTGTTTGTTCTCTAATCCATCCATCCATCAAACCCATTCTAATAACAAGAAGAAGCTAGCCCAGCTTCCTGTAACCAAATTATTTTCCATGTATGGATTGCAGCTCCAAAAATTCTCAAAGTGGCTAAGATGACTGGGTAACTCTGACTCCAGATAGTTGAAGGATATCAAGTTGGAGAGACTTAAATGCTATGCTAGGTACAATCCTTTGCATGTACATGCAAAAATAAGCTTTGTTGTATGTGGTAAGGATGCATAGATTTGCACCCCAAGTTAGTCTATATTTCAGTTTTGATTTTTCCCCATGATACATTTTTCTCTCTCTAGATCTAAACCACATGTTTCTGCTCACAAGATCAGTCCAAATTTTTCCATGCTCTAAATAAAATAAACACAGTTTGAACTTTTCATTTGATTGGTCATATTTAGAAAGTGTCATACCTCTTCATAGTTGAAGATTCCTAACTGAAGGCTGACCATAGTCTCAGCAGAATCAAACAGAGTCTTGTATGAATTCAGTTTCCAGCCATATATTAGATTTGTCTGCATTTAAAACAAACAAATAATCATCTTAGATGCCAGTCACTTCACTTACTCCATAATATCTACTGCTCATTTTTTATTCTGACAGGAAAATATCTCAGAAGACGGAATAAGTTTGAACCACTTTGATAGGAAAACCTTCTGATTAATTGATGGTCAAGGCAAATATAACCTCATAGAATAAATAGTAGATGAAGTGTTTAACCAGTCTTCCCTCAGCTATTGAAGCTCCTTCGTGACGTTTGAGCCAGCTGCCTTGTCTTAAGAACACAAACAACCTTGTAGTTGCAGAGAAAATTTGGGGGAGAAATGCTACGTGTGACATCTTGAGCTCCTGGAGGAAGGTCATAAAACTAATGAATGGATGAAATTAATGAATAATGAAAAAAGGACTGTTTGCGGGCTGGTGAACAAGAAAGTCAAGTAAGATATTTGCTTCCATTAAGTAACTTACTCATGCCTTCCTGTTGCTCAAAGTTCACGTGGTATGGAGAAAACATAACAATCAGTGCAATGGCTTGCCTCCAGAATTTGTGGGTGCTCCATGTTAGGAATATAAGTCACCTAACAGTTATTTGGGTTGGAAATATATAAACTAGGATAGACGTTTTAATACTATGTCTTTAAGAGAATACTAAATCTGTAATTGGGTGTGGTGCCGCAAAGGGCCACAAGATGGAGCCAGAAACCTGGGTTGTTTAGTCTCAGTCTCTCTGTTCCTTCTGTTGGAGAGTGTTGCCGTTCCTCCTAATGACTGATGTAAGTCTGTTACTGAACTGTTTTTTGATTCTGGACTTTGATATTTGGATTACCCCTGAACTGAACACTGACTGCTTTACCTGTGAATGACTTGGACTGCTTATCTTAGAATTTGCTTAAATGTTTATTGGAAGCAAAACCCTAAATTTACTGTATAGTGTATCTGTGCGCTGTGTGTTTATTATTCAACATTACTCTCACTACGTCTCCCTGTATGTGCTCATTCTCCTCACGGGGAATTACCTCAACACTCCATCACTGAAGGTTTTTCAAGAAGAGATCAGGCAGCCATTTGTCTGAAATGGCATGGGGTCTCTTGCTTTGTTGGGGGTGGACTAGAAGACCTTTAAGGACCCTTCCAATTCTGTTATTTTGTTGTTCTTTTATTCTGTAGAACATTGACTAATTCTGCCCATAATAGTCTCAAACCTGATAATCAACAGGAGATTCTCAATAGGACCAGATTCCTCAACACGTTGTCACAGTGTAATTTCCACAATGCTCCAACATCTTATAATCTTGTTTTGTATCATGCAGGATGCTGCAATGGAGCTCCCAAGGTGATTTGGCACCAGTCCTACTTTCCTAAACCAACTCATAGAAACGATGCCCCAGGAATAACTTTTTAGTTCCCAGAATAAAAGTAGACTGGAAATGAGTATTATTGAATACTCATATTTAGGACATTTCCACATAAGGATTGTGAACCAGTTTGAAACCAGTTCCAGTTCAATGTTGGTATTGGAGAACGAAGCTAGTTTATTTCTAAGGTCTAGTCTAAAGCAGAGTTCTTTGCAAAGGCTCAGGATGGGATCCTAATATACAGTTCTGCTCAGGATTTGAAGTTTGGTGAACAAGGGTCCCTTTTGCTCTGGAGTTCTCTGCTTTATGAACAACCCATGTAGTAGATGCTACCTACATTGAATAAACAAACATAGAAGGAGGCTCAGTCTGGTTGAATACAGCCTCCTGGACTACTCACAGCAATGGAATAAGCTAGGAACATGATAATAATCACGGTGGCAAATCCTGATATGTCCCCCCAGGCTCTCCGCAAGGTGGAGGTGATCATGTTCAACTTGGGGTTGAGCCTCAATAGGTGCCAAAGTTTCACAGTGGAAAGAAGCACCAGGAATGCAATCAGGTAGCCCAACACTGCATCCACCGTAGCGGTTTGATTGAAGCTCACAAACCTAAGAAGAAGATTCAGGGGTTGTAATAAGCTGGCATGCAGCAGTGGGGAAGGCAACCTTGGTGCCTTGCTTGTGGGAACTGCCATCCCAATCCATCGGTCGGAGCATGGGAACTGAGCCACGATTGGAGGAACCTAGGTTCAGCTTCTCAATTAGTCACAAGCCACATTAGATGATCCTGAGGGGTGGTGCTCATCTCTGTTTCCTAGGAGAGGAAGCCAGTGTTGTCTGAAGATGCTTCTGTGGTCATGTGGCCAGCACGTCTAGACACTAAGGCGCACAGAACACTGTTACCTTCTTACCAAAGTGGTACCTATTTATCTACTCGCACGCTTTTGAATTGTTAGGCTGTCAAAAGCTGGAGCAAGTAACGGGAGCTCATCCTATCAGGCAGTGCTTGGGTTTTGAACTACCAACCTTCCGGTCAACAAGCCCAGTGTCTTAATCGCTCGGCCACTGACTGCACCTCAAACTATCCTACATCTTTCTAATAAAAGAAAAACTCACTCGATTATTGACTTATATCTGGGTCACCTGCATTAGTGCTGCAAAGAACATTTTCCCTGCATTCTCATTTAATCCGACTGGAACAGAAATTGCTTTTCTGTTAATTCATTTTTTAACTTCACAAGAGGAAAAACCGTGTGTGTGTGTGTGTGTGTGTGTGTGTGTGTGTGTGTGTTAATGAGGGCAGGAGAAGATTTGACACAGGACAAAGCTGCAGCATTGCTAGCAGGTGTGTATGAACCTCCTGTCTTTTATGACTAAATTCTCTTTCCAAGAATCTGCAACCTCCCCAGTTTCTCACACTTCAATCAAATCATCATGGCAGACATTTGGAAATGGTTTCTCTGAGTTTTTTTTTTTCCCCAGCCAGGAAGCGAGAATAGCCAAGGAGGATGGTAGAAAGATACCAGCAACAAAGCAAAAATCACCCAGAGAAATCTTCTCTGCCACCTCTTTTGCAAAAGAAAGAAACTGGATGAAATAGTTTAACTTGTATGTATAAAGCACAAGCACACAAATGCTCACTTGTAAATCGTAACAACCCTGACTCTTAAAAGGAAGAGGCTTGCTATTAGCAAATTCTCCTCCTTTCTATCTTTGGTGGGGCAGTGTATTTAGAAAGTGCCAGAGCATCCAACATACTCATCCTTATGTTCCTGGTAGTAACAGATGTCCCTTAAGCCCAAGATCATCCGGCGAACGAAAACGGACAGGGCACTCCAGCTGATCAAGATGATGGCCAACTCCAGGAGGTTCCATTTGCTGTGGAAGTAATTCCATTTCAGAGCCCGCAGGATTTTTCCCTGTTGGAAGAAGACATTCATTTTTCAGTAGTACAATCTGCGAGCAGTGGGGAGTAAGGCAGCATTTATAACTCATGAGAGCGCAATGCAGTTTCATTTAATTAGTTAGAAGATAGATAGATAGATAGATAGATAGATAGATAGATAGATAGATAGATAGATAGATAGATAATAGATAGATAGATAGATAGATAGATAGATAGATAGATAGATAGATA